GAGGCTTCCATGTAGAAGGTGAAGCTTTGGGGGTTTTGGGGGAAGCGCGGAAAAAGCAGCACGAGTGATCTCAGAAAAGACCAAAACAACCTTACGAAAGATTCTTTTCACAGTGTACAATCTGACTTTTCCTTCTTTTTTTTGGTTTAAGTCAATTAATTTTTTGAATAAATGTAAATTACATAACGACGGAGCCATAGTTTAACTAAACGACATCGTTTCGTTTGTTGATTAAGTGAACTAACGACGTCATAACGCCGCTACATTGCGACCAGTCCGCCGGCATCAATTGTTTATGATAGCAACGGCGTCATTTACTTTGTCACCGCTTACGTCGTGAATGATCTGTGAACGATCGATCGCCGTTAGGTTGTGACTAGTAACGATGCCATTTTGGGTTTCTCATATCAAATTCTGATTCTTGTCATATATAAAATTTTGGTTTCCACGTACCACAATCCACACCAAGAAAAAGAGAGAAAAGAAACAGATGAATATTCCTATTTTCCAGTTGGAACTGTAAAAGAAATCACAAGACAAACATCGATCTAGAATTTCTAACTACGCACACTAAAACACGAACCAGAGTTGTTACATATACCTGAAACTTCTGGTCTTCGGATGGTCCAGTTTTGATCTTCGAACCATACAAGATTACTAGACTTCGTTTGCATTCTTCAAGATGTTGAACTTGCAAAGCGGACATCGAGAGTTTATGTGAAGCCATTTATCAATGCAAGTGCAGTGAAAGTGATGGTTACAAGGGAGTTCTCTTAGTTCTACCCCGTCTTCATATTCACATAGACAAATGCAACATTCCTGTACAATCACATAAAGGCAACGGGTTCTCAGTCTTAACACACTATTGAAATGTTTCAGTAAATATAGAACTGAATACGAAAAGGGATTGGGGGTACCGCGTCTTCTGGAGAAAGCGAGCGTTCGATAGGTGAATCTGTTCCACATTCTGTCATTATTCCTTGGTTACTAGCTTCGCCAGGGAGCTTTTCATCGTTGCCAACCTTTCTAAATCTGAATTTTGGCATTTGATCTATGTCGTTTTTCGATGCTCCCTCCTGTTTTGCACCAATTTGCATCACAAGATAATAATAATTGTAGATTATGATTTTGGAGTTGGATTGAAAAAGTGGGTTTGTTTTACTCGTCGAAATTAGATGAGAGAAGTGTAGAAGTGAATGGAAGTTTAGAAGAGAGCTTACCTGGTCCGCCACAGCATATAAGATTGCAATTATACATGGAAGACAGCAGCAAACAGCAAGGCCGATAACGCAAGCCAGTGCAACACAGAAAACAACAAAGAAAACATCGAAACCGAGAAAAATGATACACAGCCTGCAAGTTAAAAACACCTGAGTACAACCCCAAACGATACAACTTCATTTTGAAAAAAAAAGGAAACATACCAATAGAGCTGAGGAGCGTCATTAGATAGTGTTTGGCCTCCTGCAGATACCCAATAGAAGCCGATTATCCACCAAATGAATGAGAACATTGTGTTGGCTGATTCTAGATGCTTCGCAGAATTACTGAGACAATAAACATTGATGATCAACAACAAGAGCCATATGGAAATGAAAGGAAATTTCAGAATTAAGAAACTGACTGCAAGCAATAAAGAAGGATCGAGAAATAGCCTAACTATCTCTAAGGCTCCAAAACAAGATAAATTGCAACCATGTCACCGATTAGGCTTCGAACTTGCAAACATTACAAGCACATAAGCTGATATCAATACTCACAAAACAAAAAAGAAAGCAAAAAGAGTTTAGGTGAAGATGGTTTCAGTGAGGTTTCTTTCTTCTTCAATTTCGTTTCCTAAGACTATCATTTATATCTTCTCACCTAAATGTAGAAAGGGTTCATGAAAATTTGCATTGATTCACAGATACAACAAGCATGAACTATAATCCGAAATGTCAGCATACATTCAACTAACATTAACCTAGAAGCTAAGATTCAACAATGCACATACACAGTGAGCAAATTCATCTCCAGCTTCTCCCAATCCAGAAATTATAAACTCTAATTCCAGATCAAACAAAGCACAAATCTAATCTAAATTTGTTAAAACGAAATTATCAATACCTGGTAGTTCCTCTATCTTCCAATTGCGCTAACGAAACGTACTGCTGCGACGAATTCGTAAACCTCAGACCACCATCCTCCGACGAAGAAGGAGAGGAAGCAGATGATGATAATCGGTATCCCGAGCCTCTCCTCCGCCGCATCTGCCTCCGCCTATACTCAACGCACACGCAAGACATATGTAGACCACATTGAATACCGTAACCCACCACCCAAACCCGTAACGGCATATTCGGCCGCTCGTCGCGGCTGAGAATCAGAACAGCAACACCGATCGCCAGAAAAGCTAGATTCCACAGAATATCGAGAAACACCACAGGCTTAGAATACGCCCAATCACTCTGTCTCTCTTCCAATTGTTCAGCAGCCGTTTCTCTAACCAACATCGACGGCTCACGCATCATCCTCCGGCTCCCAGCGTGACGGAGAAACCTCGCTGCTTCTCTAAGACCTTGTCGTCTAGCGGATCGCTGAATTCCGCCGTTTTCTTCATCAACGCTCACAGTTCTCGAAACGTCGGAGGAAGGGAGAAACGGCGTCGTGTCGATGATTCCGTCGGAATTCGTTCTACCGACGCGAGAAGCCGAATCCGGTTCCGTCGTGTTCGCCGTTCTCGCCGACATTCTATAGCTTCTCGATTTTCAATCTTTGATCGGTTAATGCCATACAAAAGGGGATTACGATTTTCCCCAAAAAGGTTTTAGACGTACAAACAAAATTTTC